CACAGCGACAGAATAGCCCAGCCGCACAAAGGCGACTGGGCCACCAACCTAGCTCAAAAACACATATACAGACACGAAGCTGAAGCCGAAATCCAGTACGAGTGCTGCGAGATACAGCCCAACTCCTCAACCTCAACTTATGCCTCAACAACAAACTCCACAGCCGAGCTCGAACCCGGGCCCCAATCAATCGAGCCCGCAAGCCCGCACGAAGGTTACTACTGCGTAAACGAACGGCAAGAATTCTACCCACTAGACGCAATCCCCTCAACACCCTCATCATTTGCATCTCTCTTCCCCTCCTCACGGCGACTGCTCATCCGCCACGATGATGCAACCATCGACGGCAATATGAACCTGCGTGTAGACACGCCCGTCCACCTCCGCGACGGCTCCCAGCGCGATGTCATCCTCTTCCACCTGCGCATGTACGATCTCTTCTCGCGAAAGTTCTCGTTCAGGCGGTACTGCCGGGACTCGGGGCGAGAGGTGTGCCATTCTGCAAGGCGGGAGGTTGTGCCTGCCCATGAGCGACGGCCTGCGCTGCGCAGCTCATGGAGTAGTGTTTTTGCTGGGCTTAGGCCTGGCTCGGCGGGTGGTCATTGTCCGCCAAATGGAAAACTCAAGAGACGGGATTCGGGGCTTGGGGTTGGCTGTGCACATGGACATGGCCAGGCTGCGCGGGAAGAGGTAGACAAGGGGAAGGTTGAGGAGGATGAGTTGGAGAAAGAGAAAGAGAAAGAAGGGCAGTGCACCTTGCCGATATTGGGTGAGACGATGTTGCTCGAATTCTCGAATTACGCGCACGTCGAGCTGCGCCGCAAAGGGCCCGGCTCGACTAAAAAATACGACTTCGAGTATTGGTCCACGAAGTACCAGTGGCGGAGGGAGGTCCGCAAAGAGGGTGATCTGCATGAAGTGTCTTATTACTTGGTTGACACGCGCACTTCCAAGACTATTGCTCATTTGGTACCGGATACGCTGGCGCCGCTAGAGGTTGTTGAAGAGGAGAGTAAGGGGGGCTGGGTGCCGCCTTCTTCATTGTGGATCAGTGATCCTGAAGTTTACAAGACGATGCCTGACGTTGCCGAGTAAGTGATTCTGAATCCCTGCCCTACCCCTCAACCATCTGGCTAGTTTTGGTCTCTAGTGCTAGCTCTGGCTCTACATCTGGCCTTCTTCCTGTTTGCTTTTTGCTTTGTATCTTTCCCCTCTTTTCTTCTGTCTCCTCTTTTTCTGTCGCTCCTACGAGGGGGTATGTGGTTCGTATACAATGAATGCACCATGATACCCCCCCCCCTGCACAAAGTGATGATGAGGCATGAGGCTGATAAATGGGGTCTTTTTTTTTTTCAGTGTAATTGTCGCAACAGGGATAATTGCGCTAGTTGACGACTGCATTCGTCGTCGCTGGCATCACGAGCGACGTCCGTCTTGGATCCTTCCCGCCCAGTACTCGCTAGCAAAGAGCCTGGAGCGCATGGGCCCCCGGCGCCTGATCGGCCAGGCACTACAGCGGAGGGGATCCGCCTAAGCGACGCAGGGGTTTCCAGGTCCAAGACCTTGCTAAGTGGATGAGTTGGTCCTCCATTAGTCGGGATATTTATGGTGAATGGGACTTGATACTGCCTTTAATGACTTAATGATGTGAATGACGCAGTATATGGATATTTTGTTTTTGCTCAGGTATAGCTTCTTGTGAATAATTCTTGCCATCCTTTTATTTTTATATTACTTTTTCATCCGTCATCCTTTCCGCCTCATCTTCATTGACACGAATCATGTTGGTTTAATGGGACCCCGGGGACTCGAAGCTGATTCCGGGCGATCCTCTTATTTGGGTTTGACAGGGAACCAAGCAGGCTTGCAGATATGGGCATTTTCCATATTGGATTAGAAGCATGATAGCTTACAGTCACATCCCAACTTGCGTACGTTGGAGTCCACAGGTCTGACCGCTTCAAAAGCTGAACCATGGTTTCTGGTTTGGAGCTAGGGCTAGTTTATCCTGTGAACCATGGTTCGATTCTTGAGCTAGATGTCTCGTGCTTTATTGACCTGTTGTCTTGATTCCAATGCATCTCCTACGCGCCTAACATATTCCTCATTCAGAGGCGAAAAAAAAAGAAATGTATGAACTAGTGTATTATATGAAGAACTGTCACTATTGTTTAGGGCTCATGATCGATTGGTTATGAATGAATCTTTTTTTAGCGCGACAGCCCAAAGAACATCCTTGGCCTTGCTGCCTTATAGAACAAGCCCATGTATTCTAAGTCCAGTATAGTCTACTATGTCTACTATGTCTACTATGTCTACTATGTCTACTACTGTAGGTACCAACATTGTACGTGGTACTTATGTAGTCTACTGCGCAGCATAAGATGTTTAGCAGATCAAGATTGGGTGCGGGGCAGGCCCCTCAATTATTTTCCAACATTTTTAGACGCCCTACAATGTGCTGGCCTAGTCCACCATCGGCTGTTTCTCTACGTGTTTCGTGCATCAATGTAGCCGCATTACCGAGAACCATGGTTGAGGATACTGTCGACTCTGCATGAATGCCCAACACGTCTCTGCCAAAACACGCATTCCGACTGGGGGATTTGTATTGTCTCTGGACAATAATGAAGTCTCGAATTTCCTTGGTTCTCTGCACATTAGGCGGTTAACCCGACGGGACTAGCCGACAGGAAAACTAACCAGGGGGTTGATTCTTGGCCGTATCTTTGTTCGAGATCTCTGCAACACATGCCCTCCTGACAGATTGTTGAAGTTTCTACGGCGGAAATGCCATCCATCTCGCCTCATTCCATCGCTTTGTCCTTTTTATTTTTTCCCTTTCCCTCTTAAGTTGATCCTGGGCCCGACAACAACTGTTCATGCAGGGCGGCCCGGTTTGTGGCTTTAGAGGTGCCCAGCAAGTCGTTTCCAGTCGATATGTGAAAATCGACTTCTCCAAAATAATCATGATCTCATCCATCATGATGAGCTGGCAATCCTTTCCAGTGCGGCCCAACTTGGGAGTTGAATCTACATTTCAGGCATCCTCCACATCCTCCCGAAAAACAATTAAACAATAAAAGCTATGACACTGACGCTGTGGCCATAGGCTCCGCTTTTTGGGCATCACCCACAGCTCTCTACCCCTCATGCAGTCTCTCATAGTTGTTCCAGAAGCCCGCCGTTCCGCCGATACGGTTCAAGTCCATGCGCAAACTAATCCCGGGAGATGATAGTTTTCGTTTTCTTTTTTATTACTCTAAAGTACTTGTGCTCAAGTGAGGCGAGGGAGCAAAAAAGGAAAAGAAAAAAAAAAAGAAAGAAAAATCCAAACCGAATACCTCATGCACATCCAAAAAGAAAAAAAACCCTACGTGGGGTTTTCTCTGAGTTGTTCACTTCTCCCATCCAATCCGCGTCCAAGATTCTCCCGAAAAAGGTATCATATATGCTGGCTAGGAGAAGTAGCCAATATTTCCTAGTCTATCATAGAGCGGGAACCAACTTGGGAGCATCCGGATTTGCCCCTCTTCCGTCTATAACCCTTACGTGCTGTCTAGCGTTTCTTCAAGGGCTGTTTTTTGCTTAGTCGGCGTGCGCCGGGCCGTTCCAGGTTGCAGCCTCAAGATGATCCGCATACTCTTTCCTACACCTACGTTCCTTGACTGGTGGATAAGGGAGGGGGGGATTTGGCTGACGCTGTGCCATGTCCACATCGACATGCATAAGCCCCTCCGTTAGGTTTGACGGTTAGGCTCCTGTTTGTTCACAGGGGTGGGGGAAATTAAAAAAAAAAAGATAAAAAAAAAGAAATACTAAAATATTAAAAAGAATACAAAAAAAAGAAGCTGAGACGGGGTGTTATTTCCCTGGCCTTGAAGATATGGCCCACTGTTTATATGACTCCCCGCTCCCCATATCGTTGTTTGAAAGGTTGAAAAAATACATTCAAGGAAGATCACTAGAGATTCCAAACGGGTCCAATTGAGCTCTGATCCAATTCTTTTATATCTTGTGACTTCCCCTTGAAGCTCGACTTCTTTTCTCTCTGATCTTCTTCAATTGGGTTATTAAACACTATCGTGGACTCATATCCTCCCCACCTTCAATCTCACTTCATACCACTTCAATTGCAAAGCTTAGCACTCCTCCCACATTATCCCATCTCGCTCTACAAAGCAACAATGTCGTATACTACCAGTCTCCAAGGAAATAATGTTGGTAGCCGGCCCAGCTGGCAGGATCAGCTTCAGGGTAAGCCATTGGCATGCGTGGTCAAACCTCAGCAGTCCCAAATTCATCCCAAATGACAAGAAAACTCGACTAACCATCTCTAGATCATTGCACACGCACCAAGCTGTCTCCTCCTGTCTTCAATATTGTCTCCGATCGGCGAGGTACTTATCCGATTTCCAATTCTCCTCCCCTTTCAGTCTCCATCTATCGTCTTCCCATGCTGCACCAGATTATTTTATTTTCCCTCTTATTACCCGATCCAATACATACATACACAGCGTGCCTCAGTCCACCGCTGTGTGTCTCGTGTGTGGGCATTGCAGGAAGGAGTGGAGTCTTGCAGAAAAAAAAGACAGAGAAAAATGGCCCCCCTTCCCTTGTACACCGACTTTTAGTTCCCGAGCCTTTGACAGCAGCAAGCTAATTACATTTATCTTGGAATTGCAGGAGGTCGTACGGCTTGGTCCAGCACCGTCACCGTCCAGGGCCAGAATATCGCCGCTCGTTACTGGTACGACGGGCAGTTTATCAACAATGCCAAAGAGGACGCCGCCGAGGTGGCCCTCAAGGCCCTAAACCAGCAGCCTCGGGCTGCTACAGTCTATCAGGGTCAGCTGTTCCCGCAGGCAACGTCGTCCGGCTATGGTCGCGGAGCTGGCGGCTTCTGATCGTATCCTTTATTTCAAATATTTCCTACTAGTCTTGGGTGGCATTCTCTTCCCTTCTTGTGATTTTATCAAATTTCTTGGTTCTTGATTCTGATGTTGATCCTGAACTCTGTGGCTCCTCATTTCCTTGTGTGAGTGGGTGCTTGTTCTGGTTTGTTTTCCACCTGTGAAAGGCCCTCGGGGATCCACAAGTCCTATCCGATGCAAAACCCCATATCTTTGTTGTCGCTTTGCTCTCTCACTTGCGTTTCTGACTGCAGGGAAAAAAAATATAGCCCCTTCACCGCACTCCTCTTCTCCCGCCTCTTTCTCGTCTCGACACCCTTTTCTCCCCGAGTCCCGCTGATGCATGCACTATCCCTCGTCGACAACTACATCTTCCCAATTTCTGCAAGTACTACGCACGATGGCTCGCTACATTACCGAGGCTATGTCATGGGCTCTAGTGGGATGGTTTCTGGCACCAGAAAGATGGACAAATAATTAAAAAAGAAAGATGCACCATCCACGATCTCTGTCTTGGATGACCGCTTCCAAATGCAGGTCACTATCTTGTTTCGCATCTGTGAAACCTCAATATCAGTTGTGACACACACCCTAGATCCCGACAGTTCAAGTACATGATACGGTGTCTTGATGTCGTCAGCTCTCGTGTGATGCACCGAGAATCAGGCTATCCTTAGCTTCTTTCGGTGTCCCCCACATACGTGTTTTCTGGGAGTGCACATATGTATCTCTTGAGAGAAGCATTCCACATATGCTTTTCTGCGACCAATCGTTGTCTTTGTTTCTCCCCGATTGGGGTTCATACAGGTTGTCTTCGGCTTTTGATTTGTCTCCTCTCTTGCTGTGCTGTCTGCCTTGAGACAAAAAACCTGGAATTGGGCCGGGTGCTTACTGCCACTTGATGAGAGGCGAGGGGCTCGGTCTCATGCATTGTGTCAAGTGACTGCTGTTTGTCCTTTCGAGAACATATGACTTGTCATGCTCGAGTGGGTTCGATGTCATACCCGGGACGATTTCCAATCGCTACTCCTTGCTGCATAGTTTGGAGAACAACTCTACTTTGTGGCATTGTCAAAAAGTCTAAGGTGGAATTTTGAATAGATGATACCTCCTGGAGCTATGGATTAGTGTGTGTGTGTGTGTTTGTGTCTGTGCTACTGCAGATGCAAAGCGACTCGTTCTTACCTCAAGCACGATGCGACACGGCAAATGTGGCGATGGAAGCAACTTGGGACAAAAGGTCACGAGGGGGAGTTACAGGATAAAAAAAGGGACAAATACTTGTCATCTTCCGGGCATCTACTTGTCTAGAATTTGGTTTTGATTTTGATTTACGTTCTGTCTGCTTATTTGATATGTTTTGCTTTGTTTTATCTTTCCTTGGTTCATATCGGGTGTATGTGCTTGACAGAGGGAGTTTCTTTGTATCGTCTCTTGTTGGGCTGTGCTGGATTTTTGAAGTTCGGACACGGAACTGGACTGGGGGTATCTATTACGTTGGTATCATATATGGATGGTACTGGACTTGGGATTGTAATGGTCGGGGTTTGGTTTCTATCAAATTGTTCTCTTTTGTTTCTTATTATACGATTACAGAATATCTATTGACAGGGATTTTACGATTGGATCCTGCCTTTTTCTTGATTTTTTTTTTTTTTTTACTAATGACGGGTATACTAATGGAGATGGTCCATGACCACCGGCTGGAGCAGACTCAGACCTTATAAAAGGGCGTCGTACATGTTACCCTCGTTTGAGGTACTGTTGATCTTGGCGGGTTCTTGCCGCATTGGCCCTCCCGTCCGAAATTACACATCCGCGGGTAGCACAGCGTTGGCCATGTGTCTAGCCAAACATTAATTTCCGATGCATAGCGGCCGAGTTGGGCAGCATTCCAAATGACCAACGTTGTATCTTGGTGAGATAAATCATATACGTATTTAAAAAAATTTATTAATATCTGGTATAACGAAGCATTTCTATTTCTACAAAAGTACGTTGTAGACTCGACGTTGGATATTTGGTCGGTTCCAAGGTTACTTTTTAGTGAACCATGGAACGCTGAACTTTATTAACTAGCAACTTTAATTGTCTATTTTGACCAACTCATTGCTGAACTTTGTATGGACTCGACTATAGTATCTAAGGATAGGCCTTCTCAGTAACTATGGCTAGCAATATGCTCGGTATTTAGCCGCCTAGAATTGCACAGTATACAAACCCTCGCCCTGAAGAGTGATCGCCAAGACTCTTGCTTAATATGGTGCTTTTCCGACGCAAATCAAATATCGATCCGTTATACAAAGTATATCGTACAATACAGGCCGCTCTCATGATATTCAGCCATGCTCAGGAAGTGGCTATATTTATCGACGTTATTCGACAACAAGGGAAAATTAAACTGCCTAAGACGCAGCATCTCTTACCAGGCAGAATCCAAAGACTTGGTGTTGGAATACTACATATATTTATATAATCAATCATTCCATCGCCGTAGCCAACCCAGCCACGATCTACCTCAAGCCAGACATTTCCACCTCTAAAGTATCCAGGCAATCCAAAACAGCATAAAATGCCCCCCTGCCTCATTCCAAATAGATCGCGTCCACCCGAATATCACCATATGCTTTGGCTCATCGCGCAGAGAGGGATATGACTCCCCACTCCCGCGGCGCGCATGCTATGGCCATGACACCTACGGCCAGTACACATACAACGGGGACCACGAAGCATAAAAGGAAAATTAAGCGTCGCGCACACCAAAGCACTGTCACTGCTGCAATTATAGCCACAGGAGCGAGTGGAGATGAAGATGATCTGGAATATGATTTGAATTGTAAATTTAGACAAGGGGACAGTAGAGACTCAGCCGATATGTACAATACAGTTTCAACCTTGCACTTTATCTTCTGCGTTAGATAGCAGAGCTGAGCTATAATGTTGCTGTATGTACTCTGTACTCTGCAAAAATTATGAAAAATTCATATATCTCCATTAAAAATTAATTAGTTCGGCGATCTAATATGACTCAGATACATGTAGTCCCAACTTCGTATACGACTGTGCACACCCTGCAGATCGTAAACCGAGTGCCATCAACTTTCTCCACAATTCCCCAACCCTATCAATCTAATATGCGAAAGACTTTCCATCTCTTGCCCCGTCTCCGTGGCGATTGCGCCACCCGTAGTAGAGCCTCAATAGAATGCAGCCGGCTGCCACAAAGAAAAGCAATGCTGCATTTGTCCAATGGCCGGTTGGGTAGCCAATCTTTGCTTCGTCACTTTTGTAGATCCAGACGCCGACGATCTGGCCTGGAGCGCCAAACGATATGTTGAGCGCGATTGCGAGTCCTGCACCGGCCGTTGAGCTGATATTGGAGGATAGCCAGCCTAGTAGAGGTGGGATACAGGCAAAGGCGCCGCTGGCTGCTACGATGAGGCATCCGTAGCGGCTCTGGTGTTTGGGTTAGCTCATTGGCTTGGTGCGCACCTGGCCAGGTGGGATGATTGGCTGACTTACTAGATATGCACTAGCGGGAAGAACTGCGGACGCGAGGAAGCCAATTGCCCCGATGAAAGAGAATATGGCGGAATGAAGACCACGGCTAAAAATTCATGACTTCGGGTTAGTGATTGGGTATGCTTCAGAATAGAAGACAATTTACCTGTTGAAGTAGTCCGCAGACCAGGCCACAGCTATAGTCACAACATAGGCTACCGCGTACGGAGGCACGGTCATCAGTTGAGCGTGGAGATCAGAGTATCCCAGACCAGCAGTAATGGCAGGTGTGAAAAGAGAAAGGCTAGAAAATGGCGTCGAGATGCCGAAGTAGACCTTTTGACCGATGAGCTTTCAGAAATCGAGAAGGGAAAAAAGGGCAGCAAAACCATACCGCATAATGAGCATACAATCTCCAATCCGTCAGGGTAGCCTTAGCATCCTCCCAAGACATAGCATGGTCAGAACCCTTAGATCCTTCCAAACTCAGCCTCTGCGCAGCAAGCTCCTTCTCCTCAGCAGTAAGCCAACTGGCAGTCTCTGGGTAATCTGGCAGCAAGAACCAGACCAGAACAGCAGACGCGCACGATGGGGCCCCCTCAATGATAAACAGCCATCTCCAAGCAGAAAGGCCATGAGTGCCATTCATATGGCCCACACCAAAGGCAATGGCACCACCAAATGCTCCAGCAAGTGTTGCCGAGGCAAGAATCAGAGCTACGCGGATCGATCGTTCGGAGTTGCGGTACCAGAACGTAAGGTAGTATACGAAGCCGGGGAAGAGGCCAGCTTCCATTACGCCGAGAAGGAAACGGAGTCCTGTTACTTGCGCGTAGTTGTGAACTCCACCAAGACCCATTGTTGTTGCGCCCCAGGAGATCATGAGGAAGGCAATCCAGCGCTAGTGTTTGTTAATGGATTTGTAATGATTAGGAATGGATGATGGGTTTGGATTGATTTAGACGTACACTTGGGCGGAGCTTCTTCAGGAAGTAGTTTGACGGGACTTCGAACAGTGCATATGCGATCAAGAATACCATGAGTGCAATCCTTTCGTATGTCAGCGCTTTGGATTCTCATGTTTAATTAATATTTGCGACTCACGTGAACTGATATGAAGTCATATTAGTCTCAGAAAGGAGATCATTGTGAGTATCTGCATTCAAAATTTTGGCATTGCCTAGATATTTTAGCTTCAATTCTGTCCGACTTTGGGGGCCGAAGACATACCGATATTAGAGCGATCGAGATAACAAAGCAAGTAAATTGCAGCGCACAAGGGAATGATGCGTAGGTCTTGTTTCCAGACTAAGGCCTTTTCGCGTGCGTTGAGAGCATCGTCGACCACATCTGGGCTGGTAAGCTGCGCTACTGTCAGTCATCTTAAGCTCGAACACCATAACACCAACACCAACGTCAGGTTCTATAGCAAAGGGAAAAGGGAAAAGATACCTCTGAGCCTTGTTCAACATCGTGCATGTATTTTTCAGTTGCCATATTGCCAAGATCTTTCCCAAACACACAGAAGAGGTGTGCCAGGAAAATAAAATCGGAGAAGACCGCAATATTCTTTTTTTTTTTTCGCTTTCTTTTTTTTTTCCCCCTGTGTGATTTAGCTTCCCCGGGCTTTTGTCCCCCGCACTAGGGCGACTCGGCATTCTTCCGACGCTTTACCGACGCTGGAGTATTGGGGGCACATATTTTCAGGACTTGAACTAGAGTTTGAAATGTTAGTTTTTTTGGTCTAAACGGACGCTTCGTACATATTTAGGTGGTATTTCTCTTGTTTCCCCTGAATTGCGGTTTCCCAGGATCGAGATCTCAGGGACAACTGGGGCCGATTCCAAAAGGAGTCGTGACAAGGAGTATCCGTAGTTAGAAGCAAGGCTATTATGAGTAATTCAATTCTTGGATAATATTTTCCGTAAGTAGTTTGTAGGTTATGGGTTAGGTTATGTATGGTTGTCCGGTAGCAACGAGGTTCATTAGTGGAAATATTGAGCCTCAAGCGGAATATATGTCCAACCTTGAAATCCTATGTAGAGCATTGAAGGACTTTATGTATACAAACAAGTCCAAAAGACATCCAAATTATATATTTTGCGTAGAGAAAAAGTAAAACCATGATGCAAACCAGACAAACAGCTTATCAGATAAAAGTGTTCCTGATCGCATCGCAAACACTTAAATCACCCCCTCCCCATGCTATGCCATCGTCTGCTAGCCAGGCATCCTGCTAGAACATCGTATTCGACTCTATTCATATCAATCGCAAATATGTCAACCGCCGCTCCTGCACGCAAATCTATGCCCTCCGCATTAACCTTTGATCGTCACGCCAAATGCTCGGTATGTCCTTGTGGCATGATAGCCACTTAAACCCCACTTTGACATATATCTGATGCGTGCTATGGTACATATAGACAACCAAGGCGCGTGCGAGTACCCTCCACTTGCCCCATGGCTCAGTGCCTCTGCCGATCTTCATGCCTGTCGCGACACAGGCGTCTCTTAAGGGCCTAACATACGATCAGCTGCGAGAGACGGGATGTATGCTGTGCTTGAATAATACATATCACTTAGGCCTGAAGCCCGGTCAGGCAGTACTAGATGCAGTTGGTGGAGCGCATAAGTTACAAGGCTGGGATCGCAATCTCTTGACCGATAGTGGGGGGTGAGACACCACCTTTGCAGAATTGATAGTATGTTACTAACCGGATATGTTGTCACTTAGTTTCCAGATGGTGTCGCTTCTTCAGTTGGCGACTGTCACAGAGGAAGGAGTGCGATTCCTTAGCCCGCACGATGGCTCGCCAATGTAGGTGGCTTCGCTGTGTACTGTGTAGCTGAGCAGCCGAAAAACTAACTTTTTACCAGGTTACTGACTCCTGAACACTCCATTTCTCTCCAAAATTCTATCGGATCTGATATTATCATGCAATTAGACGATGTAATTGCAACCACTTCGCCAGATCATGCTCGCATCAAGGAAGCTATGGACCGCTCTGTACGGTGGTTAGACCGGTGCATTGAGGAGCATAAATATCCCGAGCGACAAAATCTCTTCTGTATCATCCAGGGTGGTCTGGATCTCGAATTGCGAAAACAATGCTGTGAAGAGATGGTAGCGCGAGATACCCCGGGAATTGCCATCGGAGGTCTATCTGGTGGAGAGGCGAAGGAGGAGTTCTGCAAAGTGTATGTGGCTCTACTTTCACCAAAAAGGAGATCGGATGAACTGACCAGACAAAGAGTTGATACATGCACTGATATTCTCCCGGAACATAAACCCAGATACGTTATGGGCGTGGTATGTCTGACTGAATTGGTTCTTCGGCCTTGGCTAATCACAAAAAATAGGGATACCCCGAGGATATTGTTGTAGCAGTGGCTCTCGGTGCAGATATGTTTGACTGTGTTTGGCCAACGCGGACAGCGGTAAGACTCACCAAGCCCTCCGGTTTGGTTCTGGCACTAACACCAACTAGCGCTTTGGCGATGCCATCGTCTCCTCTGGGACGTTGAAACTAAGCCATAAATCGTTCGCCGATGACTTCCGTCCAGTTGAGGAGGGCTGTACCTGCACTTGCTGTCGTCCAACTGACCAAGGTGGTCTCGGGCTTACGCGAGCATACATGCACCACATCACAGCCAAGGAGACCGTCGGGGCTCATCTGTAAGTGTGGATTGACCACAATATCTTGTTTCGGTTCTAATATTTCCACAGTTTGACCATCCATAATGTTCATTATATGTTGACCATGATGGGCAAAATCCGACAGGCCATTATTGATGACAAATACCCGGCTTTCCTCCGCAAGTTCTTCTCCGACATCTATGGAGGCGATAAATCGAAGTACCCCGAGTGGGCGGTAGGTGCTCTGCGGGGAGTTGGAGTGGACTTGCTTGCAGATTCATGACGGCTTGATCACTGATTTTAACCAGACAGCAAGTGTCTTGAAAAAAGACATAACGAGAAATTCATTTCACGCCATAGAAAGCGTGTGCATCCATTCCAGCGGTGTTAGGTTGACTGAATATAGAGCGCATACTATCAGATATTTACCGAAAATAAGATATGAGTTCCCTATTCCTGAACTATTATTGTTCTTGTAGCAATATGTATGCTAGAAGGTCCGAATTATCTATAATAGTTTGTTAAAATTTTATATATGGGCTTCTAAAGAGTTATGTATGTCAGTACCAATGTTGATACCTATAATAGCGAACTAAAAGTTGATTGGATAATTTCTTGGATAAGTTGATTAGAGCACTATAAAATACGAAATGATCACGTGATCACGTGTCGCGTCGACGCGATCCACCGATCCCCAAGATTCTCTCCATTATCCACTTGGCACTTTAAGTGTCTCTCTACTGTCAAATCTCAGCAGAAAGCCTGATACTCTATCTCTCACTAATTCAAGCTGCACCATGACTCAAGATCAAGTTGCTGCAGCCCCCGCGGCATCCTCGCCGCCACACGACCCCTCGCATGAAGAGCACCAATACCTCAACTTGATACGCACAATCCTCTCCGAAGGCGAGCACAGACCCGACCGCACTGGCACTGGCACGCAATCAGTTTTTGCACCACCCCAATTACGCTTCTCTCTCTCGAAGCCGAACCCAGAAGGCGGCGCGCCAATCCCCGTCTTGCCCCTCCTCACCACGAAGCGAGTCTTCCTACGCGCCGTGCTCGCCGAACTACTCTGGTTCATTTCTGGATGCACCTCCTCACTCCCACTCTCCGAGGCTGGCATTAAGATCTGGGACGGAAATGGAAGCCGCGAGTTCCTGGACAAGTCCGGACTCGGCCACCGCGAAGAAGGCGATCTAGGGCCCGTGTACGGATTCCAGTGGCGACACTTTGGCGCCGAGTACGTCGATGCCAAGGCGGATTACACCGGCCAGGGTGTCGACCAGCTCAAAGATGTTGTGCACAAGCTCATTCACAACCCCTTCGATCGCCGCATCATCATGAGCGCGTGGAACCCCGCCGATCTGAAAAAGATGGCCCTACCGCCGTGCCATATGTTCGCCCAGTTTTACGTCTCATTCCCACCTGGCATGAAGCTCGATGAAAAGACTGGCCGTCCATCGGAGAAGGGTACCCTGTCCTGCGTGCTTTACCAGCGCTCTTGTGATATGGGTCTTGGTGTACCCTTCAATATCGCGTCATATGCCCTCCTCACTCATATCCTCGCACACGCTGCGGACCTTCATCCCGGAACTCTCATTCACACCATGGGTGATGCCCACGTCTATCTTGATCACATCGATGCGCTTAATGAGCAGCTTGTTCGGGAACCAACGGAGTTCCCTGAGCTGCGCATTAAGCGTGATGACCGGGGCAGCGCGGTCATTGATGGCTGGAAGGAGGATGAGTTTGAGGTCATTGGATATAAGCCTCACAAGATCATCAAAATGAAGATGAGTGTTTGATTTATATAGATTCCTGGTTTATGGTTTGCGTGCACTGTCCGAGTTACTATGTTTGTATGATACCAATTATTCTATGGTGTATACCACAGGCCTATACATATTTTAAAATTAAAAATAGCAATGCATTCAAACTCCGAGTCTACATGTATAGAAAATCAACTCGCGCATGTTGAAGCAAAACATGCTTCCAGGTGTATCAGGCTGTGTATATGCTTCGAAAAGCAAAAAGCAAAAATCAACAATATAAGATCGGAAAGAGTATGCAAATAAATGCATCATGCGCTCTCAAGAACAGCCCCAGCGCCGCGTAACAACACAATCGTATCACCTTGCTTTACCTTCCCAGCCCCAATAGTCTCCGAGAACTCAAGGAAATCCCCAGACTCAACATGGAAGATCCGCAACCTCGAATCCTCCCCATCAACCCGATTGTTCAAGTTCTGAACCCGCAACTTCTTCGCTGCATCATCAAGCACACGGCCAACCTTCCACCTCGAATCGAAAAAGAAATCACCAGCCGGCGGCTTCGCAGCCTGTGTCTCCGCCGTACCAACAGCATGCAAATACAGCCTCTTATCCACAGGAACAGAAGCATCTCCCTTCGCCGATCGCTTGAGGCCATTAACGGCAACCGCACGGGCAGCCGGACTATTCGGTTTAGGCTTCATCTTCGGGAGAGTTGGCAGCAGGGTCCCCTTGGCAGCGGCTTGCTGTTTATCGCGGCCCCAGGTGCGCACGCGCGCAAACATGGACTTGATTGTATCATTTGATGAAGCGGCATTTTGCTGGCGCGCGCCCAGCGGGGTAATCTTGGCGCATTCGTGCTCCTCGCGGAGACGGTGTTTCAGGCAGTACTGGTGGTTGCACTGGGGGCAACGCACGGCGGGGTCTTTGAGAGTGTTGATGAGGGTTTTGCACTGGGTGTGGGCGCATTGGTCGGTGTTGTAGATAGATGGTTTTTCGGGGGCGGTGCGGTTTTCACGATTGGTGTTTGTTCCGTTGCGGCGGCGGGCCCATTCGCCTTCGCGAGGACACTCATGCGCGGTTTCGGTCCGGTGGTCTAGACAGTATGTGCTGTGGCAGGATTCGCAGCGGAAGGGGAGGAAATCTAGTTGGCCGCAGTACTCGTATTGGCAGTGCCGGCCTAGGGATTCCAGGTCTGTGTCGGCCATTTGCGTGAAGGTTTCGTTTGGGTCGCTGGAGGGGCCGCGCCCTTTGGATACGGTTATAGGGGGCATGATTGTATTCGGTCTTTGGACTTGGAGGTACGTAGGAACCGAAGGGAATGCACGCGAGATAAGCTAGAGATCTGAGTATGTGATCTTGATAGAACGCGCTGGCACAATCGCCATGTGACTAATGTGGAGAAGGTTCTGGGCTTATCTAAATGCGGAGTTAGCGTTCGGAGTTAGGCCATCTATGGAAATGCTTCATGGTCACATTCATGGTTCTACTGCAGATTTGGGAAAACCACTAGTATGAATAAGAACGTGACAACCTCGGAAGAGATATTATGGATATGACACTTCAACGACACTAACATACTGAGAACTCAACTGATAAACTCCATCTTTCCCCTGAATACAAATTCATCACAACAATCGTAGACTAGTACCATCGGAAGAAAACCTTAGATGAATTTCCTAGTTTATAATCGGTCTGTGTGTATATCAAAGTTGCCATGTGGACATATCATTTGAAATCTCCGCTCCCAACAGTTGCTAAATTCCTATAGACGCCATGAAATGTTACTAACTATACCCTCAAGGCTAATTTTCATTGACTACATACAATCACGGTGATCGTGAGAAATATGGTTTAATTCAATTATGAAAAGGATTTATGCCATTTTTGACTTAGGATAATTCACTGTTCAATCGGTGGTCATTGATTAAACCGAGCTTGCGCCGAGAACATCGCCAATTTATGATATACTGAGTGGAATTCCCTCCCGTTGCCTAAACGATCACAAGAAAATAGGTAAGCGCCAATTTAGTGACCTATATGTTTAATAGATACCGACTCATCGCTGGGCGAATATAAAGCTGTCGTGACGAAGATTGCAATACGGCGTTGCAGTCTTCTGTGCCATATTTCCAGGCGTCAAGGATCTTTGTGCTTTATCACAAGTACTACACATACAAATAAGGGGGCGGGCTTTCGAAATCTGCTGTTGCAGACAGTTTCTTGAACTGGTCATGATGCCGCAAAAAGCAAGGATAATTCAATTGCATATGCTATATCAAGGCGAGAATCAAAGTATAGTAAATGGAATCAGCGTCACTTGAGAATCTGTCAGAACATCACAGCAAAGGGGGGTTTCCTGCTTTGACTTGAGTTTTAAACCGAGGTCGCCTGATAGTCTAGTTTAGATCTGTGTCGAGTTGATCCTATGTAATGTCTTCAATTTTGATACCACTTCGAAAGTGCTCAGTAGGCTGACTCCACACGCGCTTCACGGCGTGGTTGGTATGATATACCAGCGTATAGCTCAAACATCTTCACGCAGGAACACGACCGATGGTAGAACAAAAAGTCCAACAGCAAGGGGTTGTTTCCCAGCTCCTATGTTAGGTATACAGCGTATATTGTAGCGGAAATTGGCTGAGTATGAGTCAGAAATGCACTTGCAGTGACACATCATACCAAACCCCGCGGTGTCGGTACTCTTAAAGTGGAACTGTTGCAGAATCATTATTGGGTCCACCTACTGGTGTATTGGTGCCCAGTGATAACCACACAGAAATGACACTGGAAATTGATCTTTAATGCCCAAATCTCGCCTTGTAGATCGATAATCTCTGGTATATCATACTACTCGTGGGTATGATATGAGCAACATGGAATGTGACGCTTATAGTCAATCATAACACCATATAGTGAAAGAGCCCAACGCATAAGTGGAAATGTACGGTCATGCATAGCACCCGGGATTCTTATCTATGGCTATCATGTCCGCCTATTGGAAAAACATGGATGAAGCTTTTGTCGGGGTATTGTTAAGCCTTCATGCAGTTGTCTCCTGCTTTGTCTACATTTTTGTGTTGTAATTAGGTATTTCTTTTCAGTACAGCACATAGAAATCGAGTCATTCCCGCTTGCTTTCATCTTCTACCCCCCCCCCCCCCCCCCCCTCCCCTCTCCCCCTCTGTAATCAGGTACTCGTAGTGGACCTGTACTAGTGAGGGACAGGCCGGGATGCAGATCGAAATCCTGTCTCTTGTGCCTGATTTTTAAGGCGAATAATAACCCCCGCAGAAGCGAAAGAGAAAAGAAAAACCTCTTCAGATATCAGAGAAATGAGATCGGAGGAATGCGGGGATGAGCCATACATCAGTCCATTTTGGGTAATCGTACGCGTTGTCCATCCGATGCTTACAGAGTCCTCTATACCAAAATGTTAGACTTCTAGAATATCCCTGAGTTAAGGTCGGGGCAACTGCACCAATCACCGGCCCGTATGCAGCACCGGCCGCCGGCCCGGTTGGCCCTGTGATTGGCTCGCTTGGCCGAAGTATCTTTTTTGGGCCAGCGATCTATAAATGTCGATGTTGCTTAATTTCTCGATAAGATGTTCCAAGGTTGGCATTACATTATAGAATACCTGATATATCTACGGGGGTTCTTCTCACTCTCTTCCACTCTCTTCTCTCTTCTTTCATCTCCCCAACCCTAACTCAGTATTGTTCCACAGTAAGTTGTCTCATAATTCAAATGCCCCGCGTTAGATTTGTTTGATCTAACACGATTAGATTACAGCTTACCGAACTTTGCCCGGTCCTGTCTCTACACGAACCCAACAGATTGTCGAACAGTCAACAGATGATGGTAGCATTGTCTGCTTGAACCATACAAAGTACACGATAAGCCATGACGCAGAAAGTCCAAGAGCAGGCTATGCCATTCGGTATCCAGCACACCAAAACCCGGATGGCGGAACTGTTGGCGGCCGATGTACTCATTGCTGCAGGTTCAGCAACATTGATAACGCCAGCGGTGATGATCTTTGACAGGTAAGTCGAGTTGAACTCTATCTTATCAACATATATTGACCAATATCACCCAGACTCGTCGTTGAGAAATCCTTCTACAACCAACCTCTCTTCCCAGCATTCCGCAGACACCTCTGGTTCTCCCTTACACAACCTGCAACTTTCTTAACGTCACGACCCAGTCTGCTCGTCTGGTCCCTTTACACTGCAACCTTCGCCACAGCCAATGCCTCAGAGACTATCCTGAGCAAGTGGTACCCGAAGATCGACCATGCCATTGCAGGCATGACCACATTCGCTTCAACATTCATAGTTAACTCCTCCGTGGGCATCTGGAAGGACGTGAAATTCGCCCAACTATTCGGCCATGGCAACACCTCCATGGCACCCACAAACAATACAGCCACACCAGGCTCAACTCCAACTACCGCCTCCACCTCCAACACAACTGCATCCCCTAAAACGGCCCGCTCGATCGGCCGCACCCGCATTCCAGTAGCAACATACTCAGCCTTTCTCGTCCGGGACGCGCTCACAATCTTTGGCTCCTTCAGCCTTCCGGCCATGGTCTCAACATCGATCCCAGACTCCATCGCCTCACAAGAATACCTCAAGATTCTGATTGCGCAGCTCGCGATCCCAGCTTCCATCCAACTCGTCAGTACGCCCATCCACCTGCTCGGTCTGGATCTATACAACCGGCCACAGGTTATGCCGACCAAAGACCGAATCAGCCGTGTCAGTCGCGACTGGATCGGCGCGTCACTGCTGCGCATGTGCCGCATTATCCCCGCTTTCGGAATTGGCGGGTTCGTCAATACAGAGGGCCGGCTTTACTTGCATGATCAGCTTGATGATCGACGGAAAGGGTCTTGAGGTTTCTCTAGGCTTAAATTATAAATATAAATATATACGAATACGGATTCATAGAAGACAAATATACCCTTTCTTTTTTTTTTTTTTTTTCTTTCACTTTTTCCAAATGTTCAACGGTCTTGTGTGTGCCTTATAATCGGTCTCCCCACTCCCGATATAACCGGGCCGGGTGTAGGCGGTTCACCTCGGGATCGACAGAGGGCACAACGTGAATTTTGGACCTTTTTGATTACGTTTTTTTTGCTTCGGGATTTTCTCGCTTGGGGTTTGGCGATGACGCTATGGAAACTGGGATGTTAATATCGGACTATTCTATAGGGATATTACCGCTTTGGAGTCGGATGGTGGTGCCGATGTCGGTTGAAAGTATACCGCTGGTTTGACTAGCCTAACATGACGCGTTCTGAAAAGGGGCGTGAAATTCAAGTTGATATAGCAGATATTTATCTAGACCGAAATACCATACATATCATTTAAGGCAGCATAGAAAGGCACATGAGCAAATGCATAAATCTAATTCCTTGAGCTCATTACACGACAGTTGGATCTCTAGCATTCATGAACTACTTGTTGCATGATTGTAGAAACAAGGACTCTTATCTTCCCCCACCCTGTAACCATATAATTCAGTTGGTACCGGTGATAACTCTTGTAGAATGTGAAGGTGCGAAACCTACAAGCAGACCAACGCTTCGCTGCCAATTGAGTATAGCGATGATCCTTGCTAGCATGGTTCTCACCCTGAAACACAGCGACCTCATTGGAAAGATGCTCTGTTGCAACCCCAAAAGCCTTGTCTAGGGCATCTATGTATCCCACGTTGGTCAGAAACCTCGCGGTGGGTTTGAGAGAAACATAACCTAGAGATCTGCTGTGAAAGCAATAGGTTTTTTGGAAAGTCTGTAGTTGCATTAAGAAGCGGTCTATAGAGGCGGTAGAGACTATGTATGCCTGAGAGCAAACGGAAGAGACTGCCTGATCTACCTCTCAGCAGAGACTATGTCAGATATTATATTTAAGCCCAGCAATAGACAAGAGATATGTAATTTTGTACATAACAAACAAAAGCTTAATCTTGGAATATGACATGTCAACTTCTTAAAATGAGACGTATGTACGTACTCGGAAGTAAAAACATAATCATAGTTTCTATGTTTGAAATGAGCCAGAGACGAGGACCAAAATACTAGATATGGGCCTCCAATCGTTCAACAAATGCACCTTGACAATTAGACTCCGGAACTTGATTCGTCCTATCGGCGATCTAGTAGATATCAGGCTCCTAAAATTCATTATGTTTTGTAGAGCTTTTCACTGCAGATGGCACGTTACACGCGCAAAACCTAGTAAGACATCTCTATAAACACGAAAGCCATCACTTCGTGTAACAAACTGGAAAGTGTCAAAAGCCTAAATTCATCATACGCCTTTATTTAGCTAACATCGCCATTGGCTATATTTGTCTATACTCACCCAAGCAATGTCCAAGAGAGGTACTTGATTGCCCGCAAAATAAGATCTCTTCCATGGCCATTAGCTCATTTGCCGTGCTTTCCTGTCTTACGCTATGTCCCGAGGCGGCAAATTTCTAGGTCAACTTATTATGAATCTATACGGTGCACAAACTACCTACACCCATACAGAAGGACGAATTGGTTTTGTATATGCCAGAATGTAATCCCCCGCACATCTACACTCAGTAGTGGGGTTTCCGAGTCGGAGAAATTGGTATCAGAAGGCTCGTCATGTTTCAAAAGTAGCCTCAGAGCGATGAAAGTATGCCGCTCCGATATGTCTATCTCTATCGGATGAACATAAATACTATTTTGCCCCAAGTTTGCTCGGTTCCAACATGTTCGAAAGCACATTTGCTTTCCATGCGGCCAATTTGTTCGCTTTCGGCCATTCGGACGGATGACTCAATGTTGGGGGCATTGTGGGTGGTTATCCCATGGTTGATTGCCGATCTGAATCAGCCTGAGCGGCGGAGTCAAATCTTGAGTAACAGGCGCGAAGCGAATGCTGGCCGGTGCGTGGCTGTCGGAGATGGATGAGTGGGATCACTTCAGGTGGGTGATCAGCTCACGCACAGCAGATGATATCGCAATACTGGATGGATCAAGTTGGCCATCTGGCTTGATGTAGAAGTCTGATGTAGAAGTAGCAACGCAGCCAGGCTCATCGCATGTCGGCGTCCATGGCCTCAGTTCCAGAGACGCGGCCTTTGGATCCCGAGTTGGTAGCCAAAGAGTCTGCATGGCTGAAATCATGCAGGGCATGGCTCGGGTCAACGAAAGACGGGTACTGCCCGCCGGCAGTATTGAAAGATGACGATCTCCACATGTGCTGGTGGGCGATGTTGACCAGCTTGCCGAGGACTGCAATCTCGAGTTTCAGCTTGATGCTGTACAGCGTGGCCTTGAGGGTCGTCTGGTAGATATAGTAGTTCCTAAACTCGATAATCATCAAGGCGATATCCATCAGGATACAAGACACGTTGACGGCGAGCAGCTGCAAGATCGTCTTGCGACTAACATGGTCCTGATTTAAGCGCAGCATGCGATTCGTCTCCCACATGTACAACCCAGAGATGATAACTTCCTGCACACAGAATCCTGTCAACTGTAGCTTCTCCATGACATCGTACCCCGAAATCGAGGCTTTTGTACTGGAAAAGTTTGCCGCGTAGGTGAGCACGGTTGTGGGCACGTGCAGGAGGAAAATATTTGTGATGATCATGGTTTTCACCATGCGCAGAACGCGCATATTCTGGATCACCAGATGGAGGCGCGAATACAGCACAAATGATTGGCCGGTTACCATCGTCCACCAGCCGATCGTTAACAGCGTGACGGGCACCCAAGTTGCGGACGTGAGATCGAAGAATTTGAGTAGGTAGCCGATCGAATATGGTAAGATTCCAACGCTGGCTATCAGCATGCTCCAGAAATAGGGACCTTCATAGCGTTTGAAGGTTAGAAAGATGAGCACGACTAGCTCAATGACGTTGTACCATGCGACACCGATAAATGTTGCGATCGTGATACGGACCCCAATGCTGTTGCCAGTGTAGCTACCGGTGATCCAGTTCCCTGGGCTGGAGTCGCTGAGTGAGGTCATATCCTCATTGGGAGGATCTGATATAGGAAGAAGAGAACACACGGACGTGCGTTTTTTTTTATGGGCGCGGGGTTCCCTAATTTATTTAGCTGGTTTTCTTGGCCCCAAGGGGTGCCAAGTGGGCCAAGTAGTAAATAGTTTTCGGATTTATTTAAAGATCAACAATCGTCTATGTAGGATATCCACTTTTCCTCGATGCTAGGGGTTACGAAATAGATGAAATACATGAGATAGATGAGATAGATGAGATAGATGAAATTTGTCTACTTTTATAGCCTTAGAATGTACTCCGTACGGAGATTTGTATCTTCAAGGGGTATGGTCACGTGCAGAGTGGCTTGGTGCTTATTAGATGCTTGTTGGATGCTTGGATCTTCCCATAAATTCAATAGTCATGTCACTCGTTATCATAAAAAGTACCGTGAACTGACTATCAAGAACATCTTGAAGAAAGAGAATGGTTCTCGTATCCCGGAAAGCAAATAGTAAAGATCATGTACCCAAACATCAACCATGTTATGTATCCCACCTGTATACGCCATTATTCAAAGGGTCTGAGTTCAAGCCATCATTTAAGGTGCCTTCATTAAAGCCTTCTTGAGTGAAGCCCCCAGTCCAGAACCACTCGTCGAAATCAAAGTTCAAGTCTAGAGCCTCTGCGATATCTCCAACTTGCTGCTCTGCCAACTCGTCCTTTGGACTCTCGACAGGTGGTATGGGGCTCCCTGCTGTTGTTGCTGGCGTCAAGAGTCCCGTCGCGTCACCCCTACCAGATCCAACTGTGCTGGAAGATTGAACTGAGCTTTCTGTCTTGCCCTCGTTTACCTCTCTCTCAAATTCTATCATGTAGGCCCCTAGCGTAAGCCCCATCGTCCTCTTAAACACACGGCAGAGATAACTCGGCGTTACACCGACCTCTTGCGCTAACTCCTTCAAGCCTCGCTTCACTATCAGATCCTGGTCATCCTGCTTGGTCCGTAAAAGAGCTAGAACCCTTGTGACAACCTCCTCCCCATCTCCAACGAAGCTCGCATTATCTGGCTGACATCTCTTGCACGGCCGAAGGCCATCGCGTCGCGCTTGGTCTTCTGTGTCGTAAAACACAACATTGGCTCTTCGAGCAAGGCGTGCAGGGCAGGTAGGGCGGCAGTAGATCTTGGTAGATATGACACCGTAGAGAAATGAGGAGTGTGAGGCAGGGGTGCGGTGTGTGAGGGCGCGCCAACGAGCGTGGGAACTTTGGAATTGATCGGAGCTGATCGGCCTCGAGGATTGTGTTTGCATGTTGAGGGTTATTGATGTTATTGGACAGGGGTGTACCCCTAGAAATACTCAAATTCTCTGGTTCATCGAGAAATGCGGAGGTGGCGTACCACATTTGGCATGGAGATTCACCGCCCGCAAATAGACCTGTATATTCCCTGAAGTCATCGAATATGTAGCCCTGTAATGTAGCTGACACTTATCATTATTAGTGATTTGATTCTAACTATTGAACTGGACCCAGGTATATGCATATATGCGTATATGGGAGTATGGACTAGTATTGAGGGAAGGATGTTGATCGACCCCATGTACGTTGTACAGATATGGATAAAAATTCGCAATTGCAATATGGATAGACATAATTAAATATCATCAATCTCTCGCAATTAAACTGTGTAGATACAGTGCAAACTGATTCCTATACATGCAAGAGACGGTCTTGTTGCGGCTTAAGTTTCTTAAACCTCGAGCAGTCGTCCATATCAGTGGCAGAAAATGGGAAGTTGTCATATTGGTTTATTTTCGGTTTTTTTTGTTTTCATACTCTGAATTATAGGAACATACCAAGGAGAAGTCAATCTGCTCGATTTCGAGATTGACCTGCGGTTTGTATCTACAAAGATCAACAACAAAATTTAAGGTATCCAACTGTAGGAAGCTCTGGACCAAAACGCTATACCTAATCTGGCTGTGGTGCTATTACCCACGGGTACCTTACATAATGATTAACAGCACATCCTACGCAGGTACTGCCCAATATAGCTATGGTACTCCCTAAGAAGGCTTAGCGTGACGGGGGTATAGTTGCCTGTGGTAGGGATAAAAGATCTTAGCCTAAGGTTGGTGTGGGCTAGACCGGATGATAATCCATGTATGTTCTAGGGTCAAAAATATCAAATGGATAGCGGGTGGTTCGCTGTGCCCGTATGCCTCCGAAACATTCTTTGGCGTGGTTTTCTATCTTGTGTCTAGGAGAAGCTGCTATACTGACTTCACTTATATTTCTATTTAAAGATGTTTATGGATGAATACTGAAAAGACAGGGCATACTAGTACATCGGTATGCTCAATTAAAGCAGGCCCGTGTGCTGCATCAAAATACTCCATGGCCTAGTATATGAGTGTATAGCTTAGTCTATAGTACATTGCTGCAAGTCTTTTGTGGTCTTTGAAACGTCAAAAACCTAGTATTCTACCACCTTACCCTCCAGTCCGTCCCTTTCACTTTGATCCTGACCCATAGGAAAGCTAAAAACGCACCCACATAGCTGAGCCCAGCAAAAAGAGCCACTCCCCAATACTTCTCCTTTCCTGTAGCTTCCACCGCATCGAGAAGACCCCCAGCGATTGGGATACTTGCCAGTACCCCGAAAGATACCACCGTGAAGCAGCTTGCGTAATAACGTCCATATTCCTGGGTTTCGCAGAGCTGACCTAGGCATATTGGTGTCAAGCTAACATTTGAACCGCTGCAGAAACCGAATAGTAGTATAAAGACTACCAAGAGTGCGTAGGAATCCAGGTTTGGTGCGAGAATATCTGGTAACCAGAACCCTAGAACCGATACTGTGCAGAAGAACAACGAGACAATCATGGTATTATATCTGCCAAATCGATCCGCCATGTCGCCCGCCACGTATCGGCCAACGCACGAAGCGGCATTGAGAATCGCAAGAAGCTGATATGCAAATGCCGACGATCCCGCCAGTGCATCCTCGTCGGGTAGTTGCTGTCGATCGATATAGTAACGCGGTATGTATGTAATCGGGATGAAGTACGCCAAATCTGTCAAAAGGACTCCAGCGGTTGTGAGTGCCATGGCTCCTGTTCCATCCAAGAAGATATTATAATCCGGCAATGTATCTCGCCAAGTTGTTTCCGCTCCTTTGCGGGGAGGGATTCTGCTTCGACAAAATGCCACGCTGATAGCGCAAAGTACAAGCAGCACAAATCCGAGGATCCGGATTGACCATCCCCAGCCAACTTGAGGGAGGAGTGATTGTATCATCAGGGGGAAAAGAACCCCACCAAAGCCACCTCCTATGAATGCTATACCACTAGCAAGGCCGCGACGCTCCATGAACCAATGAGCGACACAACCCATAGATGGGGTCAGGAGGAGGGATGAGCCGATACCGGTCATGATGGAGAATGACAAGAAGATCTGGTAGTATTCTAAATTGGTGTTAGCAAGGGAACGTCAGTATCGGCAGAGTGTATAAACATGAACGATTGCATGCGGTATATTAAGAGAACCGATCTTACCTGTAGAGACACTGAGGGTGAAAATGCCAATCAGCGTGCAAATAGTCCCCGCAATCATCAGCGCACGCGGGCCCATTGCATCAAAGGTCGGTCCAATTTGTACTCCACAGACCCAGTTTACGAAGGCGTAGACTGAGAATATCCAACCAAGGGTAGATGATGAAGCTTCCGGTAATATCACTTTGGATATCACGACTTCGAACACACCGGATGTGTTGTAGATACCCAGCGATGAGGTTAGGCCGCACCACGCTCCCAATACCACCATCCAGGCATCGCGGCCACCCTCGGGGTAAGTGACCTCGATTTTGAGAGGTGCTAGGTCGGGTGTTGTGGGGAGATACGGCGAGGATTTTTCGACATCGGAATGAGAAGAGTACTCGTTGCTAGTGAGCGTCTCCTTTTTATGCGACGCGTCCAAAGCATCCATCGTGGATGAACTGCATTTGGACCTTGGCGATATCGTCTCGGGGTGTTTCATTTTTCCCGTCTTTGAATCATCTGTAGAGACGAAGGGGAGAAGGCGATTGTTTGATATTCCAGTGGATTCGAGATGCTTGGAAGTTTTATAGATGGGCTTCTTTTAAGATTGCCACGGGGTATGACGACAGAGACCATGAACAAGAATTTGATTGAAGAGGACGTTAAGAAACAAAGAAAGCATGATATTATACCTTGCCAGTATGTCCTGAATATATCCAATCAGCAGTAAGGAATAAAATTGTATCCATAGTGGCCAATAAGAGAGAAATGCTGGGAGGTGTACTCAAAATAGCCAATTATCAGTCTGTCTCGAGTAAAGTACAGGAACAGGTACTCAATCTCTCTGAAAACGGCGAGATCAAGTTAATTCTAAAGGCGATTTTCATGCGAAATCCACGCCGCTTTGTGGAAAATACACAGCAGGATAAAGTCTCTAGTGCTCTTCGATTCTTAAGTTCTTGGATCAGTCTTTGTGCTTCCTTGAACAAGTGATTACCCATGAATTGGCTCATTAGATCTTCTAAATCAATGTGTTCTCAAATTGACCAATCAGCAGTGAGTAACCCAAGCTATGAACTCATAGTGGCCAATCAGAGCTAATTAGTGGTTATATAAGGTACTCAAATTAACCAATCACCGGTAGTACCAGCAAGATAGAGTGGGTACATATAGCATATACATTCCAAGGTTTATCTCGAACATACTATAGACCGTTGACACGAAGGATTTATGAGTAAATTTTTATTCATTAACAAAAGCATAGCTTTAAACACAATCTGTAATCTGGTCTGAAATTCATTCTGAAAATTACATTTTCTCGCAAACGCTGAGACTGACTTGTCGTAGAAAGATAACATTCTCACGCATTTCCAATTCGTGCGTGTTGTCCATGCCAGTTGGGCTTCCCTCATGCTACTGGCTGCCCTGGCTGGCTCGCATGTCCAAAATGCAAGTCAATTACGCCTGTAGCCTGATAGCCTTAGACGTCTCAATGAAGCGATCAAAATTGCGGGCATGTTCTTCCTCTTCCACATTGTACACAATGCTATTTTTCCATCTTTGAAACTCAAAGGCCGTGATTTCGGGATACTTTGCCGACTCCTTGGTGACAAATTTGGGCAGTGGGCCAACCGAGGTATTGCGCTCAGCCTTGAAGAGATAGGCCATTGACATTCGGGGTGGAATCACCAAGCCGCACTCCCCCTTCATCGATTCGGGAGTCATAACCTGATGGATACCACCGGTGATCTTTCCGTTAGTCCAACGTGTCAACGTGTCGCCAACATTAACGATCATTTCCATCGTATCAGTCGGTGGGAGGGGAACAAAAGTTTTAGTGGTCCGGTCTTCGATCTCCAGACCACCGGTGCTGTCTTGGAACAGCAACGTGATAGGACCAAAATCGGTATGTGGTGCAATTCGGCTTGTACCGCCGGACTTCATCTCGTCGACTGGAATTGTGGGATAGTGAGTGAGTCGGAGATCTGTGGCGCTAGGAATGCAGCGTGCAACCAAAGACCCATCATCAATGCCCCAAGCAACCTCGAGAGCCCCCATGAGCGTTAGGCAAACGCTATCGCACTTGCGATAAAACTCTTCCATGAAGTCTTGGAAGCCTGCTAGCTCAGGCTCCTGGGGCCATTTGTTTGGGTACTCTGTGTCGTATTCGGGGCCTTGGTCGAAATGTTCCTGCATTATCATGGTCAGTCACGATCTTGAGCACTTTGAAACTGATGTCTTCTATTGCGAACCTTTGAATCCTTCATGATTCTAACCTGTGCATCATGGTGAAGCTTTCCAACCTCCTCAACCCTCCACGGTGTGTAACCACGCATAGGCCTAGGGCCTGTTTCGTTTGGGGTGCTGTTCTTTACATCCAATGGCCGATCAAAAAACTTGTGGCCCTGGAAATAGTTAGTTGCCGTAACAATCACGAGATACAATGAAAGGCGCGTCACCCAGTTGAACAATTCGGTAAGCTCTCGTGTGTTGAATGCATGAGCTTTGAGCTTGGCAAATCCAGTTCTTTCAAAGCTATCTAGCAGATTATGAGAGAATGTCTCGCGCTGCTCCTTGGTGCCTGAGATGAAATGGTTGTAGTTGAGGGTTGGGACGGCCATGGTGAAGTATTGTAATAAGATATATCTTTGTGTGTTGTTGGTGGTGGATGTTTTGAAAGTAAAATCTTGATGCTTTGTGACAATCCGGGCATTTCTCGAGGCTTTATATATCAATACTGACAGGCATTGTGTTTGTGTTGATTGCACCCGTTGCCTAGATTCGGATTCTTCAAAAGCCTAGTTACAAGTGTGGCAATAGATCCCGTTCTGCATATTCTGCAAGTCAATACGGCTGCCCATGGTGACCTGCTGCATTGACCTCCCATAAGTAAATGTTTTACAGGGTTGTAAACAAGTCGTTAGTGAAGAAGCAACAAAGGAACTATTGTCCATTGGCCACTTTTAGTTCATTCGGCAATGACAGGATTGATCAGCCCTAGACCTGGGTTCTTCAAGGGCATCATAATACAGTGTGGCAATAAACTCCGTTCTGCATATTCTGCAAGCCAATAACGCAGCCACGGTGCCTTGTTGCATTGACCTCCCATGAAGAAACTTTCTACAGGGTTGTAAGCAAGCCGTTGATGGGTAAATAACAAAGGACTTGTCGATTGGCCACTTTTAGTACATCCCACGCCTGCAGGACTGATCTACCCGATCTAGATAGAGCTGAAGACTTGCTGTTTATCGGCTATTTGGAGTACATAATCTTATGCTTGACTCCAATTAGTCACTATAAGGTCAGGGTATTGCCACTGTCTACTAGTTTTAGTGATTGGCGCAATATCCGAAACGATGTCTAAATTTGATTTCATATGCATGTAAGATTTGCTAATGCGCTAATATTTTATACAGGCATTGGCCTTGATTGGCCAATACAAGTTCACAACCCTATGAGTTACTGGGCAATTCTAGTATTATGAATATGTTACTTTCAAGTGCTAATGTTAAATAGGGGGCCAAATATGAACATGATGTAATATAAGCCGAATCCTTGAAATTCTGTAAATCTTCAACGCGGCTATCCCTTCCCTTTATGACCCGAGGTGTGAAGATATGCATCTCTATCTCGTTACTTGCGGAATATATTATTGGATATCACTTAGTATTATGGCTTGGCCATCATAACTCACAATGTAAAACAACTAACAACTTAGAAGTACCAAAAAGTATGTATGACTATGGAAGGAAAGATTCATCTGACTTGGAGAAAAGTCCTGACAAACAGGGTCTCAATCAGCCATTCCTCCAATAATACATGGATGTACTGGAAATGCCCAGCCAAAATGAGAAGATTTTGAGTACCTCCTAAAACATTCACAACCTTGGTGAGGTAGAATCAATTATATATGTTCGCATGACACTAACCCTCCATACACCTTTTTTGAAAGGAATTAGTATCCAGGGGATTTACCCCTGGTAGAATACTGGTCCCAATCTAGTTGTGTACCCCATACTATTGGCCTATAATGATGCCTGAGGGGTATGACATCAGCCTAGAATCCACGACAACAAACGCAAATACTTGTAGATCACAAGTAGATTAGAGAGGCCCCGTCAGACCTCGAGTGGCGGAGTATCACCAAACACGCAGTCCATCATCCTGAAATAATATTAGCACATCATCACGAATTACAAAGATATAAACCCACACAGCAGGATACCGCGATCCAGGAATCTCAGTTCGCTCGATCAACGCCCGGATATCTTTCAGCTCCGTATCCGTCAAAGTAAGAGAGACAGAATTGGTATTCTCATCAAGATTCTTGATCGACTTTGTTCCGGGGATAGGAATGACGTCAGAGCCTTGAGCAAGAAGCCATGCGATGGCAACTTGGGCAGGAGTGCTGCCGTGGTTATTGGCAACATCTTTCAACCCCTGAACTAGTTCAAGGATTTTTGGAAAGTGTTCCTGTGCATACTTGGGTAAGATGCGGCGGAAATCAGTTTCGGGAATATCGGAGAACGATTGAATCTGGCCAGTCAAAATGCCTCGGCCAACAGGACTATAGGCAATAACAGCGATACCAAGTTCACGACAGGTAGTCAAAATCTCGGTGGTGGACGATTCAATGTCCACTGCGAATGGACTGTATTCCACTTGGTATGCGGCAATAGGGTGGACAGCATGGGCACGGCGCAGAGTTGCAGCAGAACATTCAGATAATCCAAGATGGGTGATCTTGCCTTGCCTAATGGTGTATTAGCGACAGAGTCGCTTGATCTGAAGGGATGTGGCTTACTTCTTCAGCTCAACCATAGCCTCGATGGTCTTTTCAATGGGCGTTACACCATCAACCCGATGGCAGTAGTAAAGATCAATTGTCTCAACCCCGAGTTTCTTCAGACTTTTCTCACAAGCAGCCTTGATATACTCCGGGTCAGAGCGGAGGGTCTGAACACCCTTGGCGATGTCGAATTGGATCGCAAACTTGGTGGCCAGGAATATATCCTTGCGGTTTCCTGACTTCTTCACCCACTCTCCCACTGCATCTTCACTGTCGAAGTACAGGTCGGCTGTATCCCAGAATCGTGCACCGATCGCATGAGCATGCTCGAGGAAGGCTACCTTGTCTTCGAGAGAACCGGCAGATCCATACGTACCTCCGATGCTCATGAGCCCAAGACCAACTGCAGGAATTTGGGGACCGTTACGGCCAAGGGACCGGGTTGGAAGAGACATGGCTAGAGTGATATCAAAGAGAATCCGAGGAAGCAGATGTGAACAGTAGAAGTAGAATCTTGAGGATTGTGGTGAAAGAAGAACATGGGCATCAACAGAACTATTTATATTTGTACACGGCTAGTTTCTTCGATTCTAACGCCGAATATCATCGAATCCATCCACCGGAGTCCTTTACAAAGGGCGTCATTTGCAGTATCTAAATGGAGATGTACATGGGCCTTCAATAGCCAGCCAATTAAAACTCTTCAAAAGCGAGCTCACCAATCAGGTCATAGCGCAGTTAAATATTAACTCCGATCATCTGCCAAGAACTTCGGAATCCACTTGTGTATTCCTGGGGTGAGATTATGTTCTCTTATTCCTCAACTGCTGGCATGCACGGGCACGTCCCATTATCCCGCAAAAAGGCCAAAACAGGCTGCAAGACATGCAAGTAAGTATTTGCCCATCCTCATTCTAGCACTATCTAACTAGATCAAGAATTCGCCGGGTCAAATGTGACGAAGGCCGGCCAGCTTGCCGACGTTGTGTATCAACCAGCCGAGTCTGCGATGGCTATGGCATCTGGGGAGGAGGTGGAACTCCCTACGGACAGCCACATACCAGCCGTGCTCTATCAATCTACTGTACACCGGTTGCAGTTGGCAACCTCAGCCACGAGGAACAGCTGTGCTTCGACTGGCTGATCAAGCGAACCGCAAAGAAGTTCGCTGGTTTATTTCCATCTGACTTCTGGGAGTCCTTGATATTTCAAGCTAGCGCGCAGGAACCCGCTGTGCGCCACGCTGTCATTGCCTTGTCGTCTACACATCGGTCCCAGCAGGAATATGCCGCCTTGCCGAATAAATACGACGAAGAGTGTTTCACTCTTCGACAATATAACAAAGCAATTCAACACCTCCGCACCAACGCAACCAACGATAGCCACTCTCTCCGAGTAGCGCTGATTACATGCATGCTCTTTATCACCCTAGAATACATGCGCGGGCAGTATCAGATGGCGGGTGCACATCTCCAATATGGCATGAAACTTCTCTCCGATATATCCACACCACGCCCTCCGTCATCCATGGTGCCGACTACTCTGCCTCCTGAAGAAGACTTCGCCTATAATGCCCTAGTTGACGCCTATGTCCGACTAGGCATTCAATCGGCCATGTTCGGCCACGTGCCTTCACACGTGTATATTGTAACAAAAGACCCGCTGCCTACCAGTCTTCCTTATATATTCAGCTCGCTCCTAGAAGCAAGACGCGCCCTAGACGACCTCCTGAACAGAGTTCACTGTCTAAAAAAGCATTACCATGACCACCACGCATCCCAGACACCAACCAGCAAGCAACAAATGCTCAACACACAAAGTAGAATCCTCGCAGACCTATCTCTCTGGGGCAAAACATACAAAATCTCAGTCGCACGCCTTGAAACCAACAAGATATCAGGGAAGCACCACATCGGCTACCTCCTCCTACGGGTGCACTACGAAATGGCAGTAATAATGGCCTCAGTCTGCCTCTCACCAGAAGAAACCGAGTCCGAGATGATATTTGACTCTTACACCGAGAACTTCATCAGAATAATGACCAGCTTCCTCGATATATGGAGAATCTGGACAACAACAACCTTCCGCGAAGAAGAGATCTTGGAGCTAGCTAACGCACCCGAAGACCTGAAAGCCATATTCCAGAGCTTCAAGGCAATGTCAGACATGGACGCGATCATCGAAACTTCTCTACTTGAACTCCTCGAAAATTCCTCCATATTCAGCCACTACCTGAAGACGCCAGACTGTGGCTCTAACGGGTTCACCGTTGAGATGGGGTACATCCCGCCTGTGTACTATACGGCTCTTAAATGTCGTGTCCCACAGTTCCGGCGGCAGGCTGTGAGGGCGCTGAGGGCTGCGCCGCATCGGGAGGGGGTATGGAATGGTTTGCTTTTGGCGGATGTTTTGGAGGAGATTATTAGGATCGAAGAGGGGGATTTTTATGCTGGTAGTGCGTGTGTTAATTCGCCTGTTGGGAATATTCTGCCTACGGATGAGGATTTGCTTGTGCCAAAGGTGCCAGCTGAGGCGAGAGTCTCGGATGTTAGGGTTCTTCTGCCGGACGATATTTCTGGGGATATCTATGTTAGTTATCGGAAGGTCGTAAGTGATGAGTGGGTGACTTTCATGCGGAAGATTGGTGTATAGTTGGTGGGGTCGTCATTGCAATGATAATGTGTGGATGTAGCCCACCTAGGGTTGCTGTTTATAATTCGAATGGAAGGTTTAGAGGTATAGGTAGCAGGTCCTGGCTTTCTTTTCATTGAAAGTCAACTGCATTCTCTTTTGATCATAATCTTCTTTCGTGGTTTATTGTACAATTTTATATCACAGCCGTGTAAACAGCCATGGGTCATGATTTCGTAACATGCTTTCCAGTATTCATAACACCCCATAGATCTTGTTTCCTGCTCTTCCAGATTCATAATGACCGAAGTCCTGTGCCTTGCATTACTATGTTACTTTCCGCCTACCTTTTGACTCCGCAAAAATGCAGCCACCTGCTCATGCCTCGTGACAAAGAACATGCGCTTCCGATCTGACTTCCAAACCAACACACCAATCTCCGCGGCATACTGGCAAGGAGCCTGGTATTCGGTCAAGCTGGTGAAATCCTTGAACAAAAAGCCTGCCGTGGCCCGGAGACGGTCCCGCTCTAGCTGCCACAGTCTGATCTGATCTGTCACGGTAGGCGGGAGCACAGATGCTGGGACACCCTTGCCGCTAGATTGTGCGGCACTGTGTTTCCGCAGCTGTGGGTGCGCGTGCGATAATAGGTATGAGATGATTTGATCAGCAGTGATTCCCATCTCAATGGCTCGGCGGACAGACTGTCTGGTGATTTTGCCGGTGACTAGATTGGGGAAGCGGTATTTGAGGTTTGTGAAGAGCGAGATGAGGGATATTTGTAGGGGTGACGAGGTGTAGGCATAGAGTCGGTAGTTGGTTTCGATGATGATGAACCCGGAGCCAGCACCACCAGACGGCCCCGCTGGGCCAGTGAGGGAACCTGTGACAGGGTTGCTCAGGGCGCTCGAGTCGGATGTAAGTGTAGTTGCAAGACGCGTAGGATAAAAGCGCGTCGCATCGGCGTCTTCCTGGTAGACAATACCAAAATCGGCAAGGTCCGTGAGAGTGCGAAGTTGGTTGGGCGTCATGTGGCTCTTATCATAAGACGATCCAAGTTCCAGGCTGCTCAGGAGAAACAGGAATGAGAGAACCTCGACGCTATCCATTCCGATGGCCTCGGCGCTCTCGACATAAAGAATCAAGATATGCCAGACCTGCGTGTTCACGTCCTGGAGCACAAATCCGAATCCGTCTTTGGTGATATCGACACGGTTGCCTCGGATTTCAACTAGGTGTCCCGCTTGGAGAAGCTGTTTGACACCCTTGCTCAAATTGACCGCATCGCGCTGTCCACTCAGGGCACTCGTTCCAACCATGTACCCCATAACACCTTCCCACTGTCGTCTAGCATATTCGTCCAAATCGGCGATCGAGGTCAGGTTGTGTTCTGGGGTTTGGGAGAATACACCGAAAGAGTGAGAGTCCTCGGCGCCCATCAAAGCTTGTCGAAGCGAAGCAGCGAATGGGTTGGTGACCATGTACGCGCGGACATTTTCACTTGTGAGGGTCGTAGATAGAATGTGAAGTCGGCCCAGTATTGAAAGCGCATTATCCCGTTCCCTTTTGCGAATACGGTCAGTAAATGAATGGCTGGAGCCAGGCCCATCAGATAAGCCACTCACTTCTTGCTCTCTGAGTTGACCCAAACTTCCAGATCAGCTGTCGGAAGAGGGTCCTTTAGATAGAGTAGAGCCATCACAAAGCATTTTGCTACATTCAGTGTTAGCACAACGTTCTTTTGTGTGAGGAAGCTCAATGTACCTAGATCAGGCAGCATGCGCCGGAAGATCGCGAGGGCTGTGGATGGCTGTTGGTATAATTTATAAAAAGTCGTCCCAGGAAGCCCCTCCAGGTACTCCAGAGGACGGGATGTTGCACTCGCCATAGTGAGCTGTGAGAAACCAAGTTCTCAAGCAACTGAGGAGAATAAGGTGCCTAGGTGAAGTGGTTGAGTGAAATGACGCTGGTACGGTGACCGAAGCGGCCATAAAGTGCAGCTCCGGGATGCTCTCGAACCGCCGGGTCAAGCACGTTGTACTTGTTAACCCTCCCTATATCATTCTACTTCCAAGACATTTGTCACTTTTGAGATATGGCTTCTCTTAAATTTGTCCGCTCGGTAATTTTCAGTGCCTTCGTTACCTACCATCCACTGTTTTACTAATATATCTCGCTATCTATAGGTGTGGGAGTCTTTCCGAGCTACCTCGGGTCTGGAGCCGCGGTATGGAATGCGTCCCAACTTGCTTCTACCTCTGAAATATTAGAGAAAAACTAACATCTCACTTCAATTTGGTTACAGACTGTTGAATAATGTAAGTCTAAGTCTTTCTCCTAATATATAGTTACATTGAAGGTATCACTAACATCTACTATAGCTCCGCGTTACAGCAGCCAGGCCCGGTGTGGTCAACTTTGAGCTGGATATTCAGAAGGAGCATACAGTATGTCTCTTTTTTCTTACATTATCTCCAGCAAATATCTTTAGAATCTTCTTATAGACCCAGCTTCTTACATGGATCGTTTGTCTCTAACATCTATTTCATTTAGAACCGCTTGAATATCCTCCACGGAGGCACCATTGCGAGCATGGGTAAGAGATCCTTGTACATGAATAAAAACTGTGTGAATTGGCTAAAAATTGCTAAAAATTGCGCTAGTGGACCTCGGAGGCTCGTTGGCTGTGGCATCTCGTGGCTTGTTTGCAACGGGTGTATCAACGGACCTAAATGGTAAGTCTATACGATGGGTATCAGATCTAAATTCTCTGTTTCTAATCAAATTTTCTCAAGTCACGTACTTGAATTCAGGTGGCAAAGTTGGTGACCGAATCTTGGCCGTATGTCTTTCTCCCTCTTGCTTTTCTTCTCTATTCCCAAACGGGTACTAACTGTCGACCTTAGGAGGTGACCTGTGATAAATGTGCGCTACCTGACTTACACACGTCTCTTTTGCTTAATATTTTGTCCATCAACTAATTAGCCGCGATTAGTTGGCAAGACGCTTGCTTTCACGAACATCAAGTTCACAAACCCCAACGGTCATGTCGTTGCCCGTGGGAGCCACACGAAGTGCGTATCCTATCCTATTACCGAAATCAAACTGCTAATGTCGCTTAGGTATGTAGCCCAGGCTTGGAAAGACCCCAATAACATTGTGGAAGAAATGAACAAGCTTAAGGGTGAATGAGGGCGAAATTGGGGGTTAAGATCGATAAAACTGGAGCCTTTTGGTCGAACAAGTCTCCTACTATACAAGTCATTGAGAAAGACGGCCAGAGAAAAGTAAGATCAGTCGACATTCAACAAATCCGAGCTATCAGCGAAGACTGATTATAGAAGACAACAAGTCTGTTCATATCCCCAAATTATACTATACCATTCTGTCTGAGAGCAGAAATTTCATGTTCATATAATTTACTGAATGCTACTGTGTAGTAAATAACCCTGGGAGCTGTAAAATGAACTGCTCATTCAACGCCCTCTCAGAATAAGTAGTAGAAAATGTGGAGTCCCAACGAACTCCTTTATTGAGTATTGCTGTACCATTTTAACTTGCAGACAATTCATACAATATCTTCATCCCCGTCATCAGCCTCCATGGTCTCATCCTCGTCCAAATAGTCATCTTCGCCAGCCGGCGCCGCATCTTCGATGGTGATATCTCCATCACCCATAGCCTTAACCTTGGCCTGCGTCATCTCAAACACATACTGTCCAAGGTGCTCGAGACTCTCCATTGGCGTGCCCTCAATAGCGACGCTAGCCTGCCGCGACGATGGGAACATCTCGCCAGGGGCGAGCATGAGCTTATCCGGTCGTTGCAGAAGAAGATCGAATGCGGGCTTGAGTTCGTAGCACGACTCGAAGACTTCTCGCCGGCCGAGAATATACAGGCCCAGTCGTGCGCGGGAGAGGGCTACAGTCAGACGGCGGACGTCGCGCAGGTACCCGACGCTACGGGTTCGGGTGAGAGAAAGGATTATGTCTAGAAATTTGTTAGCAATTCCAATATTTTGAGTTACGTAAATACGCTTTGAGAGAAAATCAAACTCACAATCATTCTGCTCTCCCTGGTAGCGATCCACCGTCGTCACAATCTTGGGCATTCCAAACATCGGGTTCTTGCCACAGCGGTGACTCAAAACATCCCGGATCAAAGCTGTCTGCCCAGCATATGTGGCTAAGATCGAGATTTTAGATGCAGGGTAGCCCAGGAGTCGCATGTATTGATACATGGCCACTGCGTACTCCGCTTCACCCAAATTCTGGATAAAGTGAGGTGTTGGCTCTCGCTCTCCAGAGCCCTGATAGTCGGGGACGTTGATGAACTGGTAGTCGAACTGGAAACCGGCATTGGCCTGCTGGTACTCGGGGGCAGTTTCAACCACTGGAAGGTCTCCGAGTTCCTTGTACCGCCAGCGGAAGAGCTCTGCGATGCTAGGTCGTGCGCGTCCCTGCTTGTCCAAGTTGATCACTGGGACACCCAGTCGTGCCAGTCGCAAGAAGAGACTTTGCTCGAAGTGGGCATATTGACGGAAAGCCATGTTCTGAATAATGGGTGAGTTCTGGTGGTGATCACCACAGAGAACAACACGCTTGAGAGGAAGTTCGCCGTTCTTCACGTTTTGCAGAGCATTGGGGATGAAACTCTCAACTTCAGTAATCTGCGCGGCTTCTTCCATGACCACATTGTCGTAGTGGAAACCTAGATCGGCAATTTCTTGCCGGCGCATAGCTGCGTGGGTCGAGGTCATCGCGATAATTCGGGCTTCCTTCACGAGGAGATAGTTCGCTTTATCGCGAGGTTGTCTCAAGATCTCGAATGGCCGGATGTCTTCCAACTCAGTGAAGATTCGAGCAATGTGACGTTGGCAACCTGCAGCAGTGTCGATGATCGCCTCCTTCGCGGCTTCGGCTTCGAATAGGGGCTGGGGAGCGTTTGCAAAGTATGAGTGGAACGGGAAGGATGCGACAATCTCTTCATTTGATATTCCTTCGGAATTGGCTCGATCCCAGAATTGGGTCCATGCTGGCTGCACGTAAACTGTATTGAAGTAACCTGCAGTCTCGCATGAATTCCCATGTGCACCCTCGACCCCAATCGATGCTGCCAAGCGCATCACTTCTGACAAGTATTGATTGCGATTGTCAAGGAAAGATTCAACTCGTCCATATTTGCTGTAGTTGGAATCGGTGTCCAATTCTTCCTCGCCGTGACCCAGTCGCAACAAGTGCCGTTCATCAATATCCAGGGCAATGATTTTCTGGAATAATTGATTGAGGGCTTGGTTGCTGTGTGCAATGAGTAGCGTCCGTTCATTGGGGAAGTTGTGGTAAATGTTGTTGATGATTTGGGTGGTGACATCAGTCTTTCCAGTACCAGGCGGTCCCACAATGACGGTGAGTCCCGGCTGTGTTCCAGATGCGATGGCTTCCACTTGAGCGGGGGTGAATCGTATTTTGTTCAATTTGGGAGCGTCGACGGGGTAAGGGCCAGGGTTTGGGGGCTTGTATGTGGAAACACGCATACTGCTAGGCGCCAACTCTATTTCTGCAGCTTGTTCCCGGCGTCGCTTCTTCGGCGCATGAGGCTCTGCTGCAGGGTCTTGATCAACATATTCAATAACGTAGGGGGGCCAAAGCTGGCATTCTCAGCCCCCGAAGGCTCAATGCCCGGCAAGCTTTCCACCAAATGAGACCAATCCAAAAATGTGTCTCGGAAGTCGACAGTCCTAAGTCGGTTTGGCAGCTGTGTGTATCGAGCACTAGCGGGATCTCCATAGCCTAGGAAGATGTCCTGGAGCCATGAAGGAAGCGTCATATCAGAGACAATAAGCTTTTGCATCGTTTGGAGAATTGACTTGAAGTTATTTTCCCTGCCCTTTCTCCGTGCAACTACGTTGATGAGGGGATAAATGTCCGGTTTGCCGTGGGCCTGTTGGTCCTTGTCAGATTTGAATGCAGCCGCATCCAAGTTGACGATCAACCTCCTCGATCGTGCCCTGGACTGAGAGCCATTGGCCTGGCCAGGGTATTGTCGTAATGCGCGGCCTTGCTCGTCAAGGACCTGTACGATCTCAGCTGTTCGAAGATGGGTCATCCGAGGGGTTTCAGATGCACCTTGTTCCGACTGCGGCGAACTGGGCTGGACCACCAAAAGATAGACGACGTCGTCGGGACGGAGTGAGTCCCATTCTCTCCTAACATTATCTGCAAGCCTTCCCACCTCTATCGCAATCTCGGCTCGAACAAAAGCCGGATTTGTTGCCCCGACCTTTGGTGGTGCGACATCGATGATAGCAGGCTTTGAAATTGGAATGGCCATCCGAGAGAATCCCTCAAAATTGAGGCTTCCATCGCGTGCTGGTTTTGGTTGCATGCGTTTAACGAGAGACTCCATGTCCTTGCGGATTTGGAAGAATGCTTCTGATCGGTAGAGAAGGAAGGAGCGCCAAAGGAAATCTCCAAGGCTCAAATACTGGAGATTCAACTTTGGGATTGCCAGAGGCCTGGATCCGTCGTATGTCTCATTCCTCAACAAGGCCGGGTCGTAGAGAGTTTCTTCCGTCGGAAGCGGGCTCAACTTCTCGACAGCTTCTTGGAAGGGGACCTTACGTTCATAGGAAGATGCCAAAACTTCCAGATAGAACTGACGGTCTGGGGTGACGTGTGACGATTTTGGGTAGCTTGTGCGGAATCCTAGATGAGAGCAAAGGCTCTGAAGTTCTGACTCGTCTAGAGAAGATAGCTGACTCTCTAGATCCGCTCGCTTCTCAATTGACCCCATATTGGACAGCGCAAGAATCATGAGCTTGTCTTTGAAGAACTTCATCGAGGTTCTTTGCAGCTGGGCCAATTCCTGGCAATGCAGGTCGTAGACTCCTTGCGGAGAAAGAGCCTCGCCCGAGTAATCATCAATTGCAAATTCGACAAAATGCTTGAGAAGGCTGTGGAAGTCGCGGAGAAGGGCATTATCAGGCACACGGTAGAGCTGTGAAAGGCGAATAACCGACAGAAGATTGAGGTCCTTCAACAATGTGTTCACGTAGCGCCTAGTGGGAAGCTGACTTTCGAGATCAACCAAGAGCTCAAGGAATCGTTCACAGTATAGCAAGTTCTCAGCCTGGTCCTTTTCGGGTCCGTTCAACCTTTGAAGGAAATCCAAGAGCATTGTGTATAGCCATGAACGCTCGAATCGCATCTTTGCTTTCGCCGCTTCATCTCCAGCCTCGAATCGCTTCGCAGAGGCTCTCCATGCCTTCTTCAGTGTCGGGGCCTTTGCAATAATACGATCTCTAGTCTCCTCACTGGTCAGGTTGTGCCAGACCGAGATAGAAACGAGGGGCGCGCATTCTTTGCGGATCAGGACGTTCTCGAGCGACTGGAAGGCGCTGATAATAAACGATATTATAGCGAGTCGGGAGCGAGTCGGAAGTGAATGATCAATGCTCATCGAGAGAATACGGTGGAAGAGATTGGAGAAGTCATCGGCACGGTCGGAGAAGATATCTGCAATTGTCAGCTTCGCCGCATTATAGATCTTGTCGCATTGACTCACCCCATATCGGCAAGTGCTCGCGATGCTTCACGCTGACGATCAATGCAATCAACAGTACATGATGATTAGAAGCATCCTCTGTGTAAGTCGGCCAAAGGAACCTGTAAAACAGTTAGCGTTAGCCCTGCAGGCATAACTAGAGAACGTACTTCTCAAGAATGTTCAAGTTCTCTAGAATCAATAGTGACCGGCTGTTGAAAGCCTCTGCCTCCAAAGGATCCCACAATTGCTTTTTGATGACATCTGGTTTGGCCTTACGGACCTTCGTGTTCAGCCAGTGGGCCTTGGCTAGCTGCACCCACGGGCTTTCTTCACGAAAGTCCACCACTGTAGGCCTGGATTCGAGACTCTGCGCCATCGCAGGAGTCAATAGTTTCCTTAGCCTAATAAATTGGGGTTGGTCAAGGAGGGATGGATTGGCGCAGTCGGGAACATCTGAATTGGTGAAGCTGGGGGAGCTTTTTCCAAAAGTCTTGGCTTTGAGTTCCGCCGAGCCGCAGTTCTCAATCACTTCGATCACTTTGTTTCCCTCCTTTCTACACCCATCTAGGCTTTCTTCTTTCTCTTTTAACCCGTCTTCGAAGGACGATTGAGGAGACACTTGAGAAGAAGCCGAAGACTGCGATCAA